TGCAACAATCCTCTTATTGTCTTCTTCTTCTTCTTCTTCTTGATTAAAATCATTATCTGCTTTCATTGCAAACTGTAAAAAACAAATACAAGTTCAGGAACAATCAGCAGCAACCAAAGACATTAAGAGAAGGCCAAAAAACCTTCTTCTTCTTCTTCTTCTTCTTGATTAAAATCATTATCTGCTTTCATTGCAAACTGTAAAAAACAAATACGAGTTCAGGAACAATCAGCAGCAACCAAAGACATTAAGAGAAGGCCAAAAAACCTTCTTCTTCTTCTTCTTGCAATTAAAATCTTCTTCTTCCTCCTCTTCTTCTTGATTAAAATCATTATCTGCTTTCATTGCAAACTGTAAAAAACAAATACGAGTTCAGGAACAATCAGCAGCAACCAAAGACATAAGAGAAGGCCAAAAAACCTTCAACATCTAAACAACGTGGAGCAGGTGGAACTACCGTTATCAGTGGACAAAATCGTCAGTTACTCACCGGTAAAGCATTATTAAAATTCGCTAATACAAAGTTCAAAAGAAAATTAGGCATGGAGGAACTCGTCTAAATCAACTTCATAAATTATTTGAATAAAATGCTTTTTAAATTGTATAATTAAGTTTCAAATCCTCATTCTGTACTAGTTCATATTTTTCATTAAAAAAAAAAAAAAATTGGCATGAGAAAGACGTGGGTTTAAGCTGTGGCACCATGTTTTGATGTTGCCTTGTTTTGCCATTTGTCCATGGCTAAAATACTTGCAATTCACCGAACCCTGATACAATCCTTAGGTAACATCGCCATGGTTCTGAAACCCCTATCTCATTACATTGGATTTCACGAATATCGTTCCGGATCAATCAAAGTATTTCTCGTGCTACCCTTATCCATATTTTCCTCCATACTTTCTCTGAACGCAAATCCTTGGAGACAACGGAATATCCTTTCTGGGTATTTTCTCTAAGGTGTCTAATTTGCAATTTCCAGGTGTGTGTCTTTGGTTTTCTTCTTCATGATTTTTGTATATTGCCATTGTTGGTGAAATGAGTAGATCATCAGTTTATGATGCTTGACAAAAGAATTATGGTGAATTGAATTATACAAAAGAAACAAAATTAAATATTGGCTATGCTGGACTAACCTAATTTGAGTCTGTGATTATAGAAATGTTAAGTACCGGCCGCATGTTGCTTTTGTGTCATCCAGGGTTTAATTTGCATCACACTAGATGTTGTAATTGATTTCTTTCAGCATGATTATTGAGAAAAGAAAGTTGTTTGTCTCGGAAAATCATTGTAAAGTTGGAATAATTTTGGTCTTTCATATGGCAATACCTTTGAGATATTCATTATCCTTCTTGGTTATGATTTGTTTAGATAGGGAAGATGATTGGTAACCATTATGAGAATTGGATTGCTTCGTCGGAAGCATTTGATAATGTGTTTGATTGTGAGAATGGAAGTAAAGTCTGTTTGAAGGAAGGGAAGGGAAGAAGATTGTGGAAGAAAGTGAAATATCAGCTTATTGAGTTTCATTCCTTGCCTGCATATTTGCGGGATAATGAGTTCATTCTAGGTCACTACAGAGCAGAATGGCCATTGAAGCAGATTTTCCTGAGCGTCTTTTATATCCACAGTGAGACTCTTAAAGTGTGGAAGTAGGATTCCATCACCTTAAATTGTTTTACTTTCTAATAATCAGTTCTGTATTATGTTTTGATTCGGCTATTTGATTCTTGTTTCAGGCATTTGATTGGATTCTTCCTTTTCCTCTTTCTCACCATACACACTGCAGCAAGGGCTCCGGAGATTGTTGCTTTCAACTCGCTGCAGCGTTTACCTGAGTTGCTAAAGGGAACTGATTTGCATAAGATTCAAAAGGAAATCTTGAATTGCCTGCCTTCCTTCCTTACCAAACATGACTGATCTTTACAAGTTGAAGGATGATTTGAAGACATCTTTGCCTTCAATTAATTTTCGCACTTCACTTTCAAATTGGAATATTTTAGAAGTTCTCACAAACTGCTTACCTGAGCGACTCTCTCGAATCTATCACCCAGATGATAGTGTCCTGGTAATATACCAACAAACTATTCCTGTCCATAGATTATCCATTATGCATAAGATGTTTTGCTATACTTGATCCTAAAGCCATTGCTATTTCTTTAATCAAATGCAGAATGGACTAAAAAGTGGTGAACGAACATCAATCATACCTCCTCTCATGGTTCAGCCAATAACAAGATGGCCTTTTTTAGCCTTCCTTGGTGGCGCCATGTTCTGCTTACTAGCTAGCAGCACATGCCACCTTCTTGCATGCCACTCACAGCGCCTGTCCTACATAATGCTAAGAATTGACTATGCTGGCATTGCAGCTCTCATCTCAACCTCCTTCTTCCCTCCTGTTTACTACTCTTTTATGTGCAAACCCTTCTTCCGCAACCGCTATTTGGGATCCATTATAACTTTAGGAGTTCTATCCGTTGCAATCTCGCTTCTTCCAGTCTTTCAGAAGCCTCATTTTCGAAGTTGTCGTGCTTTGCTGTTCTTTGGGATGGGCATTTCAGGCATTGCACCTATACTTCATAAGCTGATATTGTTCAAGGATCAACCTGAAGCCCTTGAAACGACAGCTTATGAGGTCCTAATGGGAACATTTTATGGAACCGGAGCATTGATATATATATGCTACAAGAGTTCCGCAGAGGTGGAAGCCTGGGAAGTTTGACATTGCAGGGCACAATTACCAGCTTTTCCACATCCTGGTAGTGGCAGGGGCATACACCCATTACCGAGCTGGTCTAGTCTACCTCCATTGGCGAGACTCAGAAGGCTGCTACCAACCTTTAGACACTAGTTTATGAGTTTTGAAGATTGTCTTTACCATGTTTTAACAATGTTTGCTTGATGTACTCAGCAACGAGAAAGGGAAGCAATAAAAAAATTTTGTTCCAGAAATCTGATTCCGGAAAAATGAGATTATATTAGCCTTTGCTTTCATTGTCTTGACTCCGTATTTTGGTGATCTCTTGCTTGACAGACGCATGTACCCAGCAAAAGAATGGGAGAAACTTTGCCTCTCTTACGAAATGCGTTATTGAGGATGTTTTAGTCATTTCTCGTCTGAACTTCAAAATTACAATAATGTCATTAGTGGGCTGCTGATAAGTAAAGGGGCATGATGGTAAATTCAATCCTGGGCCAGCTTGCCTAAATTTCCGCAACCTCATTCTTTGATAATATATATATATATATATATTTTGCCAAGAGTAATGATTAAAAAATTAGTATGAGTTAATTATTAGCAACTGATTCTCAGACTGAATGAACATTCCATCCCCTCAAATAAGGCGCGTGATCATCAAGCTGTTTTTTGGTGGAGTTCACGACGGTAGTGGAACTCGAAATTCCGATTACCTCACCCAAGCACTTAAGGCTTGAGGTCGAACCATTAAATCTAAAAGTTCGGTTACTTTGATACTATATATTCATTCATACTTTTGTCCTGTACCTACATTTACATGAGAGTTGATCCAAATTTTGGCTCATAATTGGACTGATTATTTCATCTCTTAAAATGTTAATATCATATTCCATTTGTTTTTTATTTTATGAAAATTTTCTTCAAATACAAGAGTTTTTTGAGATGGGAAAGTTTTACATTTTAAATATTTAAATACTTAGGATCACTAATCCTCTATAATTAATGATTTTTTTTTATTTTATAAAATTTTTGTTCAAATACAAGAGTTTTTTTGAGATGGGGAAGTTTTACATTTTAAATATTTAAACACTTGAGATCACTAATTCTCTATAATCAATGATTAAAATTTTCATGGTCAAATTGTAAAAAACTAAACTCATGTAAAATTCTCCTTTATGGTAAAGGATAAAATACATTATATTCCACATTGTCCACAGTTCACACTCCAAATGCAGGCAAGCCAAGATATGTGTTGGAAGAAAAAAAATTGTACTAATGAGGGGTTGGATTAAGTGATAAGCGACTTGTTCCAGCTTAAGTAAGGTCTCGAGTTCGAAACCTTGTGAACGCAGCAACCCCTGCTGGGAGGTTCACCCACCATTTTCAGGTGCGCGACGCGGGTCGGATCCAGATTAGTCGGGGCGAAACCTCGAATACCGGATGAGAAACCGAAAAAATAAAAAAAATTGTTTTTTTTTAACATAATATTCGTTGGAAGAATTTCAAACTAGGGTAGGGACACCCAAAAATTTTATCGGTACTGATCTCTATGTATGTTGTTGGGGGCATACACGTGCCTATATGATAACCAAAATCCAAATTGGGGGCCATCCTAGTGAAAAATCATTACAGCATTGAACTAAATCTTGGATCAAAATTGAGAGAAGAACAAAGGATGTGGGAATCGATTTGTCGTCAGCATATCAAAACCAACTCTGATACTGTGATTGACGATAATGGAACTTGGCCATTTTGTGCTCAAATCTGATCATGTGTTTTGTTTGGAATCCCTGAAATAGTACAGTCGTTCTAGGATACACTTTTCATGTCGGAACGGGCTGAAAAAAAAAGAAGAAGCCGGTGGTTTGGATTAGAAAGCATGATTCTAACAATTATTCGTTTTGGTTGGCTTAATTCAATTTCTAATCTATTAACTATTGATTTTATTTTAGTTTAAAAAATTTAATTTTTTTAAATGATTTATAAACTTTGAAAAAATTTCAAAATAATCTAATGGTACAAAATTTCGTTAGATTTATTTTAAAAAGTAATTTTTTAAATTTTGAAAAAGTGATATTATAATCCTAATAAAATATAATGACTCAAGACATATTATTTAAAATTTGTAATAAATGTGAACAATTGGTCTGTTTTATATGACAGATTGTATGCAGTCTGTTCTAAAAAATTATATAAAAATAAAATTAAGAGTATTTAAATAATTTTACAGAACAGACTGCATACAGTCAACTCTATAAAACAGTTTTCTGAAAAACACATTTAGTAAGATAAAATTAAAAACTATTTTTACAGTAACTATAAATTTAATGACTAAAAGATCAAAAGAAATATAATTAGAAGACTAAATATTTTATTAAAAAATAAGAATATTCCGTTAAAGATAATGGATATTTCGGTTAAATATAACAGATTAGATGAAATTGAAATAAATGTGAAAGTTAATAGACAGAATTGAAAGAATTCAAAAATAATAGATGAAACTGAAAAAAATATAAAAATCAATAGATGATTTGTTAAATTAACATGTTTTGGTTAATAATAGTTCAAGAGTTCAATGCCTGAAATAGATAAATATTCTGAAACACTTGTCATCACAGTCACAACACAACCCTAGATAGTAGCTAGGCAACAAAAAATGGAGAGGATTTTGAACAATAATTCAAATGCCAGTACTGTGAAACCAACAAATCTATGGACGGCATTCAGACAAAGACATTTAATTGATTTTGAGACATTATTAGAAGCAACATATCTATGGACGGTATTCAGACAACAGACATTTGATTTTGAAGATATTATTAGGTCCTGTAAATAGGGTATGACTCAAATAATTTTTTGTATGCAACTCTGCATTATTGGATAATGAAGACTAGTAACAGGACTAAGTTTAAGATCCAGAGTGCTGAATAACGTTTACTACACTATTTCCTATAGTGACAAAGACTCTGATTTAAAGAAGCACTGAACATCCTTAATTACATTAACCTGCCCCCCTCCCCGAAATGAAGAAACCTATGGAGACAGATACCTAAAAAACCTGTACATTTTCTTATGGAGAAAATCCTGTGAAAAAGATCCAACACCAACGGATATGTTTCCTGTTCAGCAACTATATATTTTGATCTCGACATGACTAGTCGTGGGTGTGTAACAGACATATGATATTTTGAGTTAGTTTGCATGTATTTAATTTTAAATTTGTAATCTAAGCAAGTCATCTTAGTTGGAAATAAGAAACTTAATAAGAAATAATTATTAGTTTTAAGGATCGAATTTTAATAAACAGAAAAGAAACATTCCCCGTAAGACTGTAACCATCCAATCTAACTATTCAATTATCTAAGACAGGAAGGCAAACAATAACGTTGAAAGATAAAAGTTCATCCCATTTCGCAATCAACCGACATTAAATTAGATACAAACGTGTGGTTTAATGGCATCTTCTGTACACTTTTGCAATAGCGGAAAAGGGGGGAGATTTGACTTTAATATTTTTATTGATGGGGACCTGGTGTTGTTCTCTGTTTTCTGGCCATGAAAGAGATGGAATGGAATGGAAGGGTAGAATTGTTGGTTTTCTTCTAGGGAAGGAAGAAGAATCTTTGAATGCTTTGAAAATAAATTTGATCGAGAAAATGGTGTGTGTTTACATTAATTATAGTCATACAGTTCGCAACTGGCGTGCTTTGACCTTTCCTCTGCTGGGGACCTCCTCACCATCTCCAAAGCTGCATGCCCATACTGTACTACTAGTACTGCTTCTTCTTCTTTTCTTTTTTTTTTGTCAAATGATCCGATTATAATAAGATCAGTTTATGCACACTCAATTAAGTTCATGGACTATACCATTGTTGTCGATAATGGGAAATTAACGAGAAATTACTTTTACTTTCAGTTTCTAGGGATTGGTTAGGCATTTTCAGCCATGGAATTGACTTACGGTTTTAGAAATCTACAAAGTTACAAACCGTTGAGGAAGATAGATGTTTTTTTGATGAAGTGGAGGGAAGTTTGGGAAAGTGATGAAGGTAGACAACAAATAACGTCAGAAAACCGAGTGCCCGACCCACTCACTGCTGAATTTTCCCCTTTTACACATTGATGATTAGGGTCTATGGACTGGCATAGGGCCACAAACTAGCATAGGCCATGTGCGTATGAGTTAAATGCGCGGGACCATTTTGATCCTTCGTCTGCCGCCATGATCTCCCTCATCGAGATTTATATATGGACATTGCTTCATAAAACAAGCATCACTTTTTCGGCCAAATGTTAAGGGTCCGAGATAACTCGTCTTATTCTGGTTGATATGCTTTCGACTACATTACCTACAATTTGATTTTCCAAAAGATCACAAAAAACTGATTCATGGTATCATCTCAATCACTCTATAAAATAAAAAAATAGAAATTTTAAATTTTTATTGGGTGTCATGATTTATTATTTTAATTGTATAAACGGTAAAATACTGATGATTGAATGAAGAGCCCTCTTTTATTATCAAGATTTTTTCTTAATTCAATAATTAATAATTTGCAATTCAAATTCAAACCACTTTTTTTTTACATAATAACTTGTTTTCTTCTATTAATGTCATGTAGCAGCACTGGTTCAATGCACAGAGTCCTGTGGAATTGTTTGTTTAATCAAAATGAAAGCAAATAATAATAATAATAGATTGTCGCCATGCTTGCTCACTTGTGTAAAAAGAGATTCCATGACATAATTTATGATTGTTTCTTTGTATAGTTTTTCCTATTCAAACAACTGCTTTAATTATAGGATGAACTAAGAGGGGAATTATTTTAGGTTAGGATAAGGTCGATATATAATAATGCGTACGTGCATTAGTTTGGTATCAATTTGGGCCTCAATGGAGGCCATGAGGGCATGAGAGGGATTGATTCCCAGCATTATTAGTAGGGCCCGAAACAGCTATGTTATGATGCACAAAGGTTTATATTCCTCAACAGTGTCATTAAGAATTGAGGAGCACATTTCCCGTTCGCAAAGCTTATTTTATAAATTGCTATTTAGAAACTTGCCAATCAAAACGATCAAGCATTTTAGCTTTGCCACATGGTCTCTAAATTATATGATAGAGTTATAAGAAGTAACTAGAGGGAATAGCCTTTCTTTTTTTATTATTTCTAGAGTCATTTAAAGATTTGAATATGATTTTTTTTTTTTTTGTATTTACGGTCAAATATTTTGAAATCAACTTTTATTGTATCTTGAAACTAATTATTTTCTAAATAATTTTAAAAATGCATATCTTACATTGACTTAATATATTTTAAAAAATTAATTTTGTCATATAATTATACCTTATTCTAAAATATAAAATTTAGAGTTTCAAATTTCTAAACACTTGAAACACGCCCGTTGAATCTTCTAATGCTAGAAAATGTGTATCTCCTGTGGGCTTTAGAAGTCCTAGTCCACATAGAACTCGAACACCAGAGAAGACCAAAAGCGTTCACAAAGTAGAAGAGTCAAAATCCTTGACGGTTTGGCATTTTTTGAGGAAATTTGCAGCCATCAAAGACCAACCGCATTACAAGCATAAATACTTTGACTGTTCTCCAACCATATTTTCTAGATTCTCTCAAGGGGAAGAAGGATATGTGGTTGTTGAATTTGAAATCTCAACCTCAAGATGGATTGACCATTGCAAATTCCTTCCAATTGAGGATATTTTGGAAAGTTAGAACCAAGACTTATGGGTCATTAAGGGACCCACCATTAAATGCTTTGAAAAAATAACTTCAGGTTCCACAAACAAGTCTGGAATGAAGCATCAGTAAAGAGTTCAAAATTTTTCATTGAAGTTTGGTTTTCTAAAGTCACAAGAAAGTAATTTTTTATAAAATTTTTTGAAAGTAAATTACTGAACCTAAAGTGGCACATGTTATCACAATAAATAAAAAAAAAGGGTGTGAAAAGAAAAATGACAAACACCTATAATTCAATTTCAAATAAAGAAAAGTTGAGTTTGACTTAAACTGCCAGGATTTCCACTTTGAGGGATAAGTTGAGGGCCTAGAGACAAGGGAGATATTTAAAAAATATGTCCCATAACTAGAATAATGAGTAGCTACAACTCAGAACAAGGACATCCACGTTCATTTTCACTCGCCTCCCTAGAAATTTTGTCATGACAAATTCTTTCAAGTTACTCACAATGGGTAAGGGTAAGAAGCTATATAGGAAAAAGGTAAAACACTGAAATAAAAAGTTAGAAAAAGAAAAAGAAACTAAACTAAGTTCTTATATCCATTAACAGCTCCTAAATCAATCATCAGGAACAATATAGTAGAAAGATGATATTAATTTACATTCCACTTTTCATTGAAAGGATAGCACATCATTGCATGGAGTTATAATACAAGCTGCATATTCCTACAATTGTACAAGAACATGAGATAACCTTTTCCTTTATCATCACAGTAGCTAATTGCTCTCTCTCTCTCTCTCTCTCTCTCTCTCTCTCTCTCTCTCTCTCTCTCTAACGCAAGGCCAACTGGCAGTTTTGATTGATTGAGATTCAGAAAAAAACAAGAGGGAAAAAGGAAGGAGCAAAGGACAAATAGTCTGGGATTTGAGGGTGATTTGTTTGGATTTTTCTTTTACTTTTTTTTTTTTGGTTTCCCACCCGATATCTGGTGTTTCGCCAGATTAATCCGGACCGACCCACGTCACGCACCTGAAAATGGTGGGTGAGTCTCCCAACGAAAGTTACTGCATATACAAAGTCTCGAACTCGAGACTTTGCTTAAGCTGAAACAAGCCGCTTACCACTTGATCCAACCCCTCGTTGGTTGGATTTTTCTTCTACTAATCCCCTCCTTTCCTTCTCCTTATATAGGCTCTAACATTAGTGCCTGCCTATGTGTGAATCCAAGAGGAGAGGGGAAGCAGTTAATTGGAATTCTCTTTCCTCCATTTTTGTTAGAAACAAGTAGTAGGGGTCTTGTTTCTTAGAATTACAAGAAAAATTATTTCTAGTGTGGTTGGAGAGAAGGGGGTGGAAGATGGATATATCAAATTCACAATGTGGTAGTGGGTCTGAGTCCGGTTGGACTCCGTATTTAGATCAATCTTCTTTCTCAAGAAGTAGGTGGAAGGATTTCAGTGGCGTTTCTGGTGAAGATTATGGAGGGATAGGAGCTAGATTCGAGCATGTGGGAGAAGATGAGGAGGATTTGTCAATGGTGTCTGATGCATCCTCTGGACCAAGACACTATTGTGAAGACGATGAAGACTGCAATGAAGAAAATAGGTACGTTTTTCCCGCTCCCTCAGCTTCCGAATCAGCCAAGAAAAGCAAAAACAAGAAGAAGATAAGAGAAAACCAACAGCATTGTTCTCTTGATGACACTGCTAGCTCCCCCACACTAAGCCTTTCTAAGGCAAGTTCCAAATCAGATTCCTATAAGATGTTATGAGTATAAAAGTAATTCATTTCTAACAAAATATACTAATGGTGTGTCATTGCTCTCCTTACAGAAGAATCTCAAAAAGGAAGCTTCAATGGATGTTTTCGATTTTTCGCAGGACTGCTCTGCTACCCAAAATAAGGTACTTGATTATCTACCCTTCTCAGATTTCCTTTTTCAATATCTCATTTCAATATAAATTCTTCTAAGGGATAACCTTAAGGATTCCACCACTGCATTCTTACAGGGGAAATCAGGACTCCGGAAAAAACTTGGTTTTCTGCAGTCCTCATTTGCTGGCAAACCAGCTTCAGGAGAAGCAGGTTACTCCCTATTTTCATTTCTCATATGTCCTTTTCTCCAGAAATGTAAACAGTAAATTGTAATGCTTGCATGTGCCTAATATCTATTGTATTAATTAACCTATTCACACAGGTGGATTTCAAGGAAGAAAGTAGGAATGACAAAAGAGTAAGTACTAAGTATAAAACTTTTTGTCTCTACTGCTGTTGCTGCTCTAGATTAAAGGCAGTCCTGGGATCTGTAAAAAAAAAAAAAGGCATTAGATCTCAAAAAGATATTGTTCTTTTGTTTTTATTTTTGTTTTTATCCTACTCTACTCCTTGTTATGTGTTCCTGTCAATGCAGTAGGAAACAACCTGAGACATTGAAAATAAATAAAATTTTCTGTCTTGGGTATATTTATATTTTATATGTTTTCATTTTTACCACCTATTGTCACATACGAAACTTGCAATTCCTCCTCTACTTCATGTCATGCACATCCCATTACAAAGATGGATCCTCCATTCTTCCTCCATATTCTAGTTTCACTAATGTAGAATCCATTAAAATAAGAAAATATGTAATAGGGATGCATCCAATCTTTGAAAGTAGTAAAAGTATACTGTTCAACTCAGAACATGGTTGTGGTTCCCCATGAGGCTATCTATTTCTCTGCATTTTTTCAGTAATGAAGACAGTAATAGTGCCCAATTGCACCCACTCAGCCACACAAATTGAAGCTAGTACGGTCGGGGGCCATCAGCCATCTTAAGCAAGCGACCCACCATTCTTTTTCGGTTAAATTCAAAAATAACCTATTAAGTATGCGATTTATTTTAATTTAGTCTAAAAATATTTTTTTTTTCAAAATAATTTATAAATTATTAATTTTATTTTAAAATGATCTACTTAACAAACATTTCGTTAACTAGACTAACATAAATCATTCTAGTTATTATGCGCTCCCCCTAAACTTTTGAAAAATATTAAATATAGTACAATTATTTTTTGGTTAAATACCCTTTTTGGTCCCTCTACTATAGGAAAAAGCCCTTTTTTGGTCCCTGTTCCGAAAAAATTTCCTTTTTAGTCCTTACTGTTCACAAATCCGGCCCCTTTTTAGTCCTTTCGTTAAATTTTGGCTGATGTGGCACGTTAATTAACGGAAACACTCATTCCTTTTTTTTTATTAAATTACGTGGAAAATCCACGTGGCAAAATTGATGACATGCTAAATTTTTTTATTTTTAATTACTGATATACCCTCATCTTCT